TAATTATAAAGTAGGGCACAATGCAACTCAATGTGTTAAATCTTTTTCAGGCAGTTCAGACACCAACAATGACAGCTTACTAAAAGGGTTATTATCCTGGAATGATGGTATTCATCAACTTAATTACCAATTTAAAATCAACTAAGTAACGAACTAACCTCCGTCTCTGTCATTTCATTAATCATTTCGTCATCTTTAAATACACGAATGTCAAAATCTTCAGAACCAACCAACAACTATACATTGTACATTGAACATGTTTGAAATAATATTACATAAACAGTGAAGTTTGAAAAGAAGAGTCCAGCATTATGCTTTAAATAAAGCGACAAAAAATATGGCTCTATGCTGGGATTTTAATTTTCATTGAATTACCTCATTCTGTCCGTCCCCAGTGAAGTCACAGAGAGCCAAGGAACAGACATTGTCACCAGTAACCTAGAGATGGTCGAAAAGAAACGTATTCATGCACAAAACATGGGTATATAACCTTCATAGCTGTGTGGGTCTGCTATGCTTACAGTAAAACAAGCAAAAATGAAAACAAGGCCATGTAGCAAAAGTGCAATAAATGTCAAAGTCTATTCATCTCATGTCATGTGTTTAGAACAAGCTTTCATTGGTAGGGATGCAGCTACCTGAAAAATATATTAATAAGGAGAATTTCAACGGTTTGAGCAAAGGCTCTTCATCTGGTTACTCCAGACGAAGGGCCTTCGCTCGAAACGTCGAAATTCTCCTTATATTTTTCAGGTAGCTGCATCCCTACCAACGAAAGCTTGTTCATATTATTGGCACAACCTACACTAGCCTGCGTGCAGGCCCAAGGGAACTGATATTGGGCCTGCACGCAGGCTAAACCTACACTGGCAAAGACAGTTCAAGTGTCCAAAGCCTAATACTCACTGTCCAGAACTGATCATTTCCTTCATAATCAAAACCTTGCAAAGAACAGTTTCCACCAGCGATGGCCAGTGGTGAACTAGTCGTACCTAACTGGCCAACAGTCAACACATTTACACCATCAGGAACCTGTCAAAAGACAATGATAGTTGGCTTTCTGTGTGGTTTCTATTCTGTGGTGAGTGAACACCAGTGAGGTAGTCAAGTAACCCTAACTGTACAATTCATTGTTGAACATTCTCGTCCCCAGAGCCATTTTCACTCGGTCACTCATTGAAAATTAGGCTCTGGGTTAGAAGACTAAAGGGAAAGATCTGATTGGCTTCTCAGAGACAGGGACCGCAGAGCCATTTTTGGATTAGGGGGGCTATAGCAAACGCTGAAGGCGTGAGTTTGTTAGGGGGTCCGAGGGCATGCTCCCTGGGAAATTTTGAAATCCGAGACCTCCTGGAGCCCCGGAAATGCAATCAAATTTACTAGTTGCTGTTAAAAAGTTTCTTAATAAACAACTTTTAATCTAATATTACCCGTCATTTGTTTAATCCAACCAGAAATAAATTGAATACTTTGCTATATAAGTTATAAATAGATTGTTAACTGATCTGAAAGATTTCAGTATTCTCAGTTTATAAAAATGACATATGTATGGAAAATTATTGGGGGGGGCTAAAGCCCCCACGCCCCCCCCCCCCTGCTCCGCGGTCCCTGAGAGTACTGATATTTTGCAGAAGTTGAGCACTTTTCACTAGGTAATATTATTCTATCAAAATATGTCAACACAATCAAATACTTTGTTTCTTCGTAATATTTCTCTGTGAACATTGTTACGGGTGCCAAAGAGTCCAAATATTCAAGAGTATGCGCTATATAAACTACTGCAAGTTTTCTTGTGAAGGTCACGCTCAGCCAAGAGGCCCTGGGAACAAGGGTGATTGTTGAACAGCTCCATCGCTCTCACTTACGTCTTTATAGAACACGTCAGTGTTATCTTGAACATTGTACGCCAACAGAGTGGTGGGCGTGCCGACAACCAAGACATCATTCTCCGATCCACCCAGTTGACCAGCGCATACCGCAGACACTTGTTGGTTAATATTCAACAGACTAATGTCAGTATTAACTGTCGTAACACGACCTCCTTCAACAGCTTGGCTATGAGGATTATGGACAAAAACCTAAATAACAAGATACAGATTGATGACTCAAACTGCACAAGTAGTAATTTATTAAACTCAGTAAGACTTCACAGACAGTATATATATTGTAGAAGGGTTTTCTAGATGTAAATTAAAGAATAGGCACTATGGGGGAAATCAAACCTCTGTGGCCCTGCGATTCCAGTGCAGAACGCTAAGGTTAGCACTATTTTCCATCCAGCAAACTGACCTTACGTCATTTTCGGAAAATGAAAGGGGTGTTAAATGGCTATGTAACTAAACTAAACCCTACCCCTACTCTAACCCCTAACCCTAACCGCAACTCTAACCCTAACCCTGACCGAATTAATAAAAAAATCCAAAAAGAAACAACTTTAGAAAATCGATAGGGCAGTTTGCTGGATGGAAAATAGTGCTAACCGCACGCTAACCAACTGAGCTACAGAGGCCAGTTGTCTGGCTTTAACCACGCTTCAACAGAATCCCAAGGCTGCAGGTTCAATTCCTGCCAGAGGGTCTATATTTTTTCACAACCGCTCCTGGTTAATAGATCTAATAAATATGTAATATTCTCACTCAAAATTTATATCTACAGACTCCTTCTACAATAGACATTTCCCCTTTTAAGTGAAATTTTGATCTAGACAAGTCTAGACAAAAATTTCATCACAGCTTGAAAGAGCATCACAAAATTAGTAATATTCCGAAGTCTCGTTGCGAAATGTTGTGAAATGCGGATAATATAGCCTTGCGAAGTTTGCCGTTTTTCAGTCATTTTGCATTACAAACGGGAAATTGATAATCAGTTTGATCATCTGATTATCAATTTCCCGTTTGTAATGCAAAATGACTGAAAAACGGCAAACTTCTCAAGGCTATATTATCCGCATTTTACAACATTTTGCAACGAAACTTTGGAATATTACTAATTTTGTGATGCTCTTTCAAGCTGTGATGAAATTTCTGTCCAGGCATATCTAGATCAAAATTTCACTTAAAAGGGGAAATGTCTATTGGCGTTATATGACTATACTTTGGGGGCTACGGTGGCCAAGTGGTTAGCGCACTTGCCTTTCACCTCTGAGGCTGCAGGTTCGAATCTCACTAAGTACCTTCTCAGTGCGACTCGAACCCAGTCCCCATGTGAAAAGAGTAAAAGTCAACGCTCTGCCGAACGCCGTGGGTTTTCCCCGGGTACTCCGGTTTCCTCCCACAGGGAAAAGTTGACAGGGTGGGTTAGGCAAAAAGGGCCCACAGTAATTGGCTTATGCTGTTGTGGTGACCCTGCCCTAGTTGGCAAAGCTAATAAAAACAAAAAACAAAAACAAAAATCACAGAATAGGAAGGTATAGCAGAAGTCTCACTCCTTGTTGTTTTACGTCCACGAAAATTTTAACTCGCTCACGCCAATCCAAGCCATCCTGGCTAGTACAGCCGGAAGTTTTTACAAGGTTTTTGTAGGTACAAAGTGCTGGTTGTACTAGCCAGGATGGCATGATTGATGACGAATCGCTTGTAAAAATGCGGACAAATATTTGCTTGAGTGAGACTTCTGCTGTACCTTCTTATTCTGTGCTTATATCGAGCGAAGATGTCCAAAACCCTTTATATATTAAACTCAGCAACACTTGACAGACAGTATAAACTATAAACATTGATTGCAAATTGATTTAAATAAAATTACAAAGGCATATAACATGATCCACAAGCTAATAAAATCACAAAGGCATATAACATGATTCACAAACTACAAGCACTAATGATCGTCCAACAATACTTGTACGATCTCCCAAAAACTACAGACAAAATAATCTGACCTTTCCTGCTGTTGTGGCAGCAGTCAGACAAGGCCTCTGGCCATCGTATTTGCCAATCGTTACACGTCGAGAATGGATCTTCTGACCAAGTTTCAACGTAAAAATAGGCACGAGCATTATGCCTACCCTCCTAACACATTGTAGTAGGCATCGATTGTGTTTTTAACGAAGAATATCGTGTTTTTATATCCAAAACAATAAATTTGGATTTAAATAGCGTTTCTTGTTGCCAAGTTCCGAAGGTAAGCCGACTTTTCACGGCCATATACGAGGTCCTTACCTGCAAACAGGCTGCTGGGACGGCAGCCCACGAGTACGTCTGGATCTGAGAAAATATTTCAAATGGACACTCCCTTGTCTCCCGTTTCTTCTTTTGGAGTATGGGGGGGGGTTTACTATGAATCATTGAAGGGAAAGGGTGGGGGCATCATGATTTGAAGTCCACAGCTACGGTGGAAAGATCAGTGTGCTGCTTCAAGGATGACGGTGTTGCTTCCAAGGATGTTCTGGGCCCCCCGATCGTCACTTTGAATGGGCAGGAGAAAACCCATGCATGAGAGTTGAGGCGAGAGTTTGCTTGAGAGTTGATGAGAGTTGAGGCGAGAGTTTGCGTCTTTCTCATCAAAATTTGAAGCAGTTCACAGTTATTGAGAAGAGAGTTGCAACTCTCGTCGTTTTTCACTGGGGTTGAAGTTCTTATCTGTTTCCAAAACAATTAAATCATGGAGGTAAAGGCAATATTCCATTGCATTCGCTTTGCCCGCGCGGGCGGAGCGACAAATTTTAATCACGTGAAAAATCAGTCGCCCGGGCACTCCAAGAAAGTTGAATGTAATTCTACTTTCATGGCGTGTCCGCGAGCATTCAGGAGGACAAAAAATGCACAGGTTAGGCAACTACAGAGAAAGTTGAGTAATGTTCGCTCCTCCCGCGCGAGCAAAGCGACTGCAATGGAAAATGGCCTTAATGCGTAAGATGCGCTCTAGTGATTCTGCAAATGATTTCTATTCTATATAAAATTCATCTTCAAAATTGTTCATTAAATTCAATAATGATAACATCTGGAATAATACAATATTTTCATTCTAGAATCTATATATACAAGACTATATATACATTATATCTTTCATATCCTGACATTACTAGGTTATCACACTATTCACACACACACACACACACACACACACAAAACGAAAACCTAGACACACTTCGTAACAGCAAACTGTCGTGGTTTGTGTCTGAACTTCCTGAAAAAGGTATTTCAAACTTGGTGGTCCAGTGTCAAGGCATTTTTTAATACCATGGACTGGTGGGGCCTTTATCCCCACTTGGCCCCTTCCTCTGCCCCACCACTGAAGAAAAAAATGGCCTATTGCCCCAAGCCAGGGCCCTAAGATCTGTACTGAGTAAATGAGTTTAACATTGAAAAGAAGTTTGAAAAACAAAATTTGTTGGTGATTATACTTAAACATATGTTGTGTTTGAATGTTTAGCATACAATTTATTACAAATTTCACCATTAAAACTTTGTTTTGAGAAGCTGAGACTTTTTTAAAAATGTTCCTCAGAATGCAGGAAATGTTATATCAGAGACTCAAATTTTAAATTCGTGCCTGCGGTACTCTGCTCACACCTTTGGCGATTGCATACTATCCTGGAGGGAGGGCAAGGAGAAAATGGGTCCTTTGGCAGTTTTGCCCCACCACTGAAGAATCCTTAAAAAATGCACTGTCCAGTGTAGGTAGTATTCTTGACTATAAGCTGTCGTGGTTTGTGTCTGAACTACCTGAAAAAGATATCTCAAATCTTATAAAATAACTGACAGCTGACAGGACTGTGTCTTGCTGACAAATAGCTAGAATTGTACAAGCTGAGAACTGAAATCTAGATGTTACTCATTTGAACACATTTTTCAATGCTCACGAAGCTGTTTCTTTACACATATGTAATAAGTTGGACATTCTCCGTTTCTTTAACAAGATGATCTTGCGAATTCTTATACACAAATTCGTCGTGGCGTTCATAGCCTGGGGAGGAGAGCCCGTTAAGTAGCGTCGTGCTCTTATTGCCGTTAGCGTCTGTGGTTAAAGTTATTCTTGAAACGTTCGGGTTTTGTTTTGGTTTAAATATCGGATACTTGATACAGCATCTGGACAGGAGCGACGACACAGCGCGGCGAAAGTCATTTTTAAGAAACGTGTATAACATTGGATTAAATAGACTCGTTCCAAATCTCAAGAAGTCTAGAATATCTGCAAATGTTTCTGGTAGGATTGCACCTGGGCCCAGCTCTACTTGGAATAACGTGATATACCATGACAACCAGCACACGGTGAAAATTCCCAACATCAATGCGAATATTATCAGCGCGCGTTTGTCGGAAGCGATCGAGCGATTCCGAGGATCGGCAGACAATTCCGCTTGTCTCCGAATGTTTCGAACCTGTCTGCGAATGACGAGAAACATACGACAAAAGCAAAACGTCATCACGCATAGTGGTACAATGAAAAAGACGACGAGGCCAGTGATGTCGTAAGTTTTTGTATATTTGATCGCGTCGCCGATGTTGGAGATATTGTGATGGCCAAGATTGAACCAGGACAGCTGAATGGTCGCGTAGAGCGTGGACAATATCCACACCAGGGCGATACAGAAACATATACGACCTTTCGTCACCATGCGATAGTACCTAAAGAGCGAAAAAAAGTTATTCAGGGTGCGCACAGATCAGGAGTTAAATTCAAGGACGCTCAAGGCCATGTATCAGGAAATTCAATGAGTAACGCCTAGTATTCTAAAAGCTCACTCGCACTTGATGAGTGGAGGTTCAATCTGAGCTTTTCTTGAGTGTCAATGCTGTTTTTGAATAGCTGGAGGGTTAGTGTCGTACCTTACTATGTGACTACTCACCATCCAGCTATTAAAAAACAGCATAGGCACTCAAGAAAAGCTCAGATTGAACCTCCACTCATTGAGTGTGAGTGAGCTTTTAGAATACGGGCGTAAGGGCTGAAAAGGGGGAGGTAGAAATCAGTAAAGAGTGACGTTAAACTGTTCAAATGCCAACCTTAATGAAGTTATACAATACTTGCTCACCTCATTGGAAACATAACCGCGACATATCTCTCTGACGTCACCACCATTATGTGAGCCATGGTTGAGACCGCGATACAACGATACAATACAGCGGATGCTATGCATACCTAGAAAGAAAAAGATAAAGATTAGATATCAATGACGTCAACTCATAATAATCCCACTTGAAGATCGATAAAAATCTCATCAATCAAAGTTGTTTTCTCATGAAACACGAAACAACCAACGTCATATCGACCCTTTGTATCGACTTCACTAACTTTATTCATACTAGTTACCTCTATCAGTTCTTAACTGTTCTCCCTAGAGGTCCAGTAAAGATCATCTCTTATTGATCCAGTGTTACTACAGCAGGAAACCTAAACTAAACTAACTTTATTTATACTGGATAGCTCTATATCAGTTCTAAACTGTTCTCCCTAGAGGTCCAGTAAGGATCATCTCTTATTGATCCAGTATCATTACAGGAGGAAACCTAAACTAAACTAACTTTATTTATACTGGATAGCTCTATCAGTTATAAACTGTTCTTCCTAGAGGTCCAGTAAGGATCATCTCTTATTGACCCAGTGTTACTACAGGAGGAAACCTAAACTAAAATAACTTTATGTCTTTATTTATACTGGATAGCTCTATCAGTTCTAAACTGTTCTCCCTAGAGGTCCAGTAAAGATCATCTCTTATTGATCCAGTGTTACTACAGCAGGAAACCTAAACTAAACTAACTTTATTTATAGTGGATAGCTCTATATCAGTTCTAAACTGTTCTCCCTAGAGGTCCAGTAAGGATCATCTCTTATTGATCCAGTATCATTACAGGAGGAAACCTAAACTAAACTAACTTTATTTATACTGGATAGCTCTATCAGTTCTAAACTGTTCTTCCTAGAGGTCCAGTAAGGATCATCTCTTATTGACCCAGTGTTACTACAGGAGGAAACCTAAACTAAAATAACTTTATGTCTTTATTTATACTGGATAGCTCTATCAGTTCTAAACTGTTCTTCCTAGAGGTCCAGTAAAGATCATCTCTTATTGATCCAGTGTTACTACAGGAGGAAACCTAAACTAAACTAACTTTGTTTATACTGGATAGCTCTATCAGTTCTAAACTGTTCTTTCTAGAGGTCCAGTAAGAGTCATCTATTTCATTAAAGAATACTACGTCTACATACACTGACTGCTGAATGTTCACATGCTAAATGTTTGAAAATCATTTAAAGTCATTCCTACCTGAGTACGATTAGTAAGAGAACAGATGAGAAATAGAGGAATAGACAAAAGTCCAGTTAGGAGGTCAGACAACGCAAGACTGACCAGGAAACAATTCGTCTTAGTTCGTAGATAATCTTTAGTCACAAACAGGTAAACGACCAGGACATTTATAGCGATAATGAGAAAAGCTAGGACTATAAGACAGGCATCGTAAGCTGGCTTGAAAACGCCTGTATCTATACAGCAGTCTGTGGCATTTGAGGTCACGTTCGCCATGATTCGTTGAAGCAGTAGTTAACAGGAAATGGACTTGGAGTCTTGAAACATCAGAGTTTATATCACAATCTACAGAGATAATAAAGTTCATTAAAGGTAAGTTGATCCTTGCTCGGACCTCTAGACTCAAGGTCTTAAAATAATTGAGGAGAAAGTGCTACCTTTACATTGACGTAAATGGTTAGACTTTCGCGTCTTCTCAGATAAGGACGTTAAATTGTGGGCACTTCGGATCCCCTATCCCCTATTGGCCGATAGCCTGATGCAGAGAAATCCGCTCACCAATGAGCGAAAATCTCAATAAACTCGACTCTTCTCAAATCAATCTCTTCAGTCCGAAGCGAGAATCGAAGCACAAATCAGAGATAAAGCGACTCTTTAGTTCGTATCTATCATGTATGAACGATGTTGACGTTGTATTTTACTCTGTCCAACAGCAGACGAGTTTTCTTGTCAATAGCATAATCTACCGACGTGGGAAAACAGTTAATTGTCAATAACAAGGCCTTCAATTACTAAAGTTTCCACAAAAAGAAAAAAAAAGAAAAAAAAAGACATTTGCGGCAAACATCAAATGTCGTTGTTATCATGTCATCATTAACAATAGATTTACAACAATTGCAACAGTCTATCACAAACCTAATAGGAATGGAAACGAATCACAAGTAATAAATATACTCTTAAACATAGTTGGTTTGGTGTAATGTACTCAGGTGAATAAGATGCTTGTGTGATGTTACTCTGAGTGTATATCCACAGCGGACAGGCTTGAAAAATAATATTTTTCAAGCCTGCCCGACGTGGATATACACTCAGAGTAACATCACACAAGCATTTTTGGTTTGTCAATCAAATGTCTATGAATTGGAATAAAATATTCATTTATTTTGGAGGCTTAGAATAATTTGAGATACCATGATAATGCCTTGTAATTACTGTGTTGTTCTTATATTTCGTCCGCTAGATTAATATCTATAGATGAACTTTGTTATCGAGAAAAAGTCGCGTTCCTATATAAAACTATATAACCTAATGTATAGAGAGACGTTTAGTCTTTCTTTGAGGATTTGAAGAAATAACGGCCACATTGGGGGATTAATTTTTCATTCATAAAACGTACATTTACTAGAAATTTCTCTTTTATGATAAATTTTAATGTCCCAGCATTAAAAATAGCATTTCTCTTTGCATAACAATAGTACATGCCATCCAGTCAAAATCCAATGATCTAAAAATTCATTGTCTTTTAAAAGACAAAGGAAAATTCCCATCACTGGATCTTCACCGGATGACATGGATTTTCAAAACAATAAAAAGGCAATAGAACATTGTGATCACTGCATTGTGACTGGATAGCATGGAGAACAGTGGATTTTCAAAATGGAACATTTCGCGGATCAATGGATAAATGACAATATTGTTATATCATTGTATTGTCATGTATTGGATTACAGATTTGTTCATTATAGTCTTTAATAATAATAATAATTATCCAGCAGGATACCCACAACACACACTGCATCTATATAATCGTTTACAATATTGTTAATATTTAAACAGAATAAAAATGGGCAAATATGGAAATGTGCGGTGCAACAATGATGAAAACGAACAATTAATTATATGTACATATACGGTATTGTTGGGATAGACATATATTGCACATGCACGAGATAAGATGGATTTACATGTTAATATTCTATATAAGTACAAGCATGTATTAAAAGCTCAAATTTTATTTGCAAAACTAATTAATAATTCATTAAAAAAATTCCAAAGAAATCAATGTTTAATGAAGTGTTGCACGGAACCCCGAAACGCATGAACTTTTTCATCAATTTTCTGAGTTAAAGTAACTTCTTCTTGAATAATTTCTTTACATATAATCTCTTTATATATTGCGTTCATGCTGTATCAGACATACAACCCTCTCGTCCTCGGCTTTGTATATCTGATATATAACCCTCCAGAAAAGAAAAAATGATAAATAAACTGTCACTGTATCCCTTATACTTAGAAGCTGTAAATATTATTTGGTAGCGCGTTTTCATTACAGTATTTTTCAAAATGCCATGTTATCATCATTTTACCTTTCAATTTTGACACATGCATCAACAATATATCATTTTATGTATAAATTTAAAAGGTGTATATTTTTTCCAACAATATATCACTTTAATCTTTATACATCTAAGTAGTTTATTATTTCCACAAAAAAATCATATATCAAAATCGCCTTGCAAGACAATTAATGTGACATTTTATTTATTCTCTATATACCTAAAAGGCAATTTGTGTATATTATACAAATATATATATATATATCGTATAGAGACTTTTTATTACTTCTTCATTTCAACATCTATCCAACATATTTAGCCCATTGGCATTGTAAATACATAAATTACAAAGCCAAGACTTTTTCTTCCATGGCAATTTCGCCAAGATATTCATGTCTTTTGTTAATTAACGCATATAAAATACAATTTGTATTCATATAAGAAATGCGCCAGCCATGCAGACGCCATCCTTGCGAGATACGTGGGATCTCTGCATGCAATCAAGTATGGCCAACATTCTCCATAGCCATAGTTAAGGCTTTATCTCACCTCATCCTGAGATTGACATTTTTCGCCGATTTTGACCACTAATATTTAGCATTGAAACTAACAAAAAATAAACTACAAACAAAAAATAAACATGAACTGACCTATATTTACATGTATGCAGGCACTATATAGGAAAGTCGCAATACAAAGTGCAGTTGTTTAAAACAAAAAATATTTCATAAACGCCATGTTTATACAACGCTCACACAACGCCCGTATTCTAAAAGCTCACTCACACTCACACTCAATGAGTGGAAGTTCAATCTGAGCCTCCCTTGACCGCCCGTATTCTCAGTAAAAGCTCACTCGCACTCAATGAGTGGAGGTTTAATCTGAGCTTCTCTTGAGTGTCAATGCTGTTTTTGAATAGCTAGAGGGTGAGTAGTCACATAGTAAGGTACGACATTAACCCTCCAGCTATTCAAAAACAAGAAAAGCTCAGAATGAACCTCTACTCATTAGGGCCATTTATACGGAACAAAATAAGTCGCGACTTACATAAGACGCGACTTAAATAAGCGGAGTTATCGCATAAATGGTTCTCTACGGCTTTGGTCTTATTTATTTGCTATAGCTATAATGTTGTTTTGGTTGTTTTTGTTTTAATATGCAAGGCTAATAATTTTACGTTGTTTCAAGTTTCTGGCATGTGTATAGTCAGACTTTTTGCCCAAAATTTAAGACGCGACTTAAATAAGAACAGCTAAAAGACCTGTTCTTATGTAAGACGCGTCTTATCCAAGGCTCGTCTTACATTTGAATTTTGTACCTTTTATACGCCAAACTCGCGTCTTACTTAAGTCGCGTCTTATGTAAGTCGCGTCTTATTTTGTTCCGTATAAATGGCCTTATTGAGTGTGGGTGTGAATGAGCTTTTAGAATACGGGCGTATACGTTCAGACTATCCCGGCGCGAAATAATGAGGCAACGCTTGACGTCTATTCACATACTAAGCCGTTAGAGGTTCGATAAGGATTCGCAAAAACGAGCACAAATAGTGAGAAAAACAATTAAAAATAATAGTAATAAAAAGATAATAAAAGTACGCCAAAGTAAAAAAAATAATAAAAAATCCTAAAGTGGATGGAGCAAGATAAAGACGGTGACGCTGTTCACACGAAACCGCCAAGCGTTCCGTTTTCATCTTCGTTTAGAAACCGTGCTGAAATTGTTACGACAAGAGTGACGTCTTCAAACAATCGCTCCCGCGCGTAGTATGAACGCGACCGCTAATTGTGACTTTTCTGCGTCGTTTTCAAATCGCTCCGACGTTGTATCGTGCGAAAGTAATCTTGGATTCCTCAATCAGTTCGAAATTTTGCCCTCCACAAGTGAACTAGTGTTGCTGCAAGTGGAAACTCGGGGAAAACCTGAAAATTCCCATGAAATCATAACCAAAATCTGCAGAATTCAAAGTTGATGGAGCACAGAGATAAAAGACATACGCTCTAACTAACTACGCCACAAGAACACGTCTGATTTTCATCCTACCTTGATGCAATCCTGAAAAAGCAACGGCGACAAAGCTCACACACGGAGCAGAAACGCAGACAAGCTGTAAAATAAGTACAGGCAGCCACTCGAAGCGAAAATAAGCCAAGGACTGCGGCGCCAACGTATCTGAATTACAACAATAGCAATTGATTTGGTGAAGTTTTTCGGTAGCGAATATTAAATTTTGCAAAGAAAAAAAAAGCTTAATATAAATGATACTCGAGGCAGCTGCCTTCGTGTGAAGATAAGACACAGACTTGCCCTATTTATGCGCCTAATCTATGCATATGGACTGCAATTATTGTTCAAGTCTTTTGTCTTGTACTTTCTTGCAGAACTAGATATTACGCCCACAGTGAATAATGACTAACTGGGATGGAAGGGCATGTCTTATATGGCATGTTGTGTATATATACTACTATCAGTATACCATATTGTTCACCACGTGGTGGTGATTAGAACTAACGTTCGGCACGGCGTGCCATGTACTACTATACACTAACTCGTCAACAAGATGTGTTCGCAGCAGGCTTGTAGCAAGCTTGTCAACAAGTTGTAACAATGCTGTTATTTTATCAAGTTGCTACAAGTTTGTCACTCACAACTTGTTGAGAAATTGTTGAATTGCAGGACGATAACAAGTTGTTGGAACTACTTGTAACAAGACTTTTTCTGTGTTGGTGTTGTGTATTCAGGTGAATATGATGTTTGTGATGTTACTCTGAGTGTATATCCATACCGGGCGAGCTTGAAAAAGCTCGAACAGACCTGACCACGTAGCTCAGTTGGCAGAGCATTGGGCTAGTATTCCAAAGGTCGTAGATTCGATTCCCACCGTGGTCGCGTGGTGGCATATTTTTCAAGCTCGCCCGGTGTGGATATACTTGTAACAAGTCTGTTGAGCTCAACAACCTTGTAACAAGTTGTCAACAAGCTGGGAACAAGCAGTGCGAACACATCCTGTTGAC